GACATCTTTGAGCGCATCGCAGGCGAGGCGTCTCGCCTGGCGCATTACAACAAGCGCTCGACCATCACGTCCAGGGAGATCCAGACGGCCGTGCGCCTGCTGCTTCCCGGGGAATTGGCCAAGCACGCCGTGTCCGAGGGTACCAAGGCCGTCACCAAGTACACCAGCTCCAAGTAAAGTTTCTATCTGCATAACAACGCTAACAATCCAAAGGCTCTTTTAAGAGCCACCCAAGTTGTCACTTAAAAGTCTGTAACTCTTAGGGATTTGTTAAATAGAGCTACACGTGTGATGAGAATTACTAAAATCTCGAGACAATGTTCCTTCCTCTTTAGTGTGTAAGGATCACCAAGGAGTAAATCTGTACACTGTTACACTCTGGTAGCCACTAAGGGAGTTAGGGTTCTGTTTTGATGTCAGAAAATCCCTCCTCACCACCCCCCTTCAGATGTTTTGTTTTCCTAACTTCAGTTTCTTTTTGTCATAATCCCATTGCTCTTGGTCGGGAGTAACAAGGGTTTTATAGCAATTTACAAGGTGTTGAATGGTCCTAAATCGACTGCTGATTACATTAGAATAGGGAAAACGAAACTGCTTCAGTTTGTAATTTGCTGTCACCTTGAGAATGGCTACAGCTGCATCACTTCTCTAGGTTGCATTCCTAAACAAATTTCTTAAACCATTCTTTGCTACCTCCATCGTTCAACATCCACTAACGTATCTTCAAATCTCACTGAATGTACCGTTCCTGGATTATTTCACGTAGCTAAAATATTACCTTCGGGCAAGGTCAGGAACTCATCACGCACTGAGTTTTCTACCTGGCTGAACATACTGGGACCTAAGAGACTTACCAGGCAGCAAGATAACATGAGGGGGCAGGAAGCAAGTGAAAGTCTCCAGTGCTATATAATTCAACAACTGATTCCTGGGGGGTGTAGAGATGGGGAACTGCCTCTCTCTGTCAGTCTCCTCATTCTTAGGCTCCAAGGATTCTCGGAGTTCTCCCAAGACCTCCTCCTTCATGTTTTAGAATGACCTTGTCCACAGTTAACTTCTTCATTCACTGGAATTTTATTTAAAGAAAGAAGGGAAACAGGAAGGGAGTTTCCCCTTAGCATATCTAATATGCCATTTTATTTTGTCCTATAATCACTTCTTATGGGATGGAATCTCCCGTTTTACAAACGAATGACATGAAGAATTAAGGATAAATGAATTAAGGTTTAAGTAACTTACCTCTTACATACAACTAAGGAAACTGGAATTTGAATCCCCATCTAATTCAGTCCAATTCTGAGGCCTGTTTCTTCCATGGCCTCCACACTGTATGTTAGAGAATTTTTCTCAAGCAGAAAGCTAGCTGCAATCATAGGAGTGGGGAAATTTGAGTTCAAAGGGAAAATAGAACACTGGCAAAGAGAAAAGAAAACTGGTCAGGTGATACACATATTCTTTGAGATACAGCAAAGCCCTTACAGTGGGAAAAGTTTCTTTAAAAAACAAAAAAAAAGGGAGATTTGGAAATTTAAAGATCATCTGGAAGCGACTTTAACTTTTATGGGCGCTGTGGTGTGGAAGGGAAACCATGAGTGTTAGCAGTGTAAACCTGAGCTTACAATCTCGTTTTTCACGTTTTAGCCACATGTCTATCTGCAGAAACCTACATAGCAGATAACTGTGAACATTAAATAAGTGACCCAAAATTACAACTGGGCTCTGTAGATAAAATTCCCTAAGCACCACCTATAATTAAGGCATTGACTTCTTGTTCTCCAAAAGCTAACTGTAGTTTTTTAAAACTATCCATTCATGAAAAGAAATATATAAACATAATTTAAGGGGAAAATCCCCCAGGACATGATACAGACCTGACTATTTGAATATTGAATGTTGAATTTAGACAAATCGCTTAATGTCTCTGTGAGCATTTCCTTATGTCTTAAAGGAAAATAATAACTAGTAACTACTGCACGGCATTGCTGGGGTGTTCAATAAAGGAATGCAAGGAAAGGACTTAGTACCTACACAGAGGAAGTCCCCAAACCCATTGCAGTCCAGTCAATTCTGACTCATAGCGACCCTCTAAGACAAAGTAGAACTGCCCCATAGGGTTACAAGGAGCAGATGGTAGACTCAAACTACTGACCTTTTGGTTAGTGGCTGAGCTCTTAATCACTGCGCCACCAGGGCTCCAAAAATGTTAGGTATAGCTAAAGTCTCTGGTTGAAGCCATAGAGAAGGAACCCTTGGCCCTGTCCACATTGGAAGCCCAGGGTCCCTGTGTGGCTTTGAACAAGGCAATAGGCTTTAAAGCCTGCTGGGAATTAACACCAATTAAGTTTCCTTGTCTTGGTAGTGTGAACAGATTTTTTAACAGTTCAAAGCCCTCTTTAGAACAATCTCTTTCCTCTGAACAATTTTCAGAATATCCTAGAACCTTTGGCTGTGAAACTTCCCTGCTTCTGTGTGCCAATTCAAGTAACATGTGTCATATTCTCTAGGGACCCTCCCATACTTTCACTAGAACTGTTGTTGCTGCTGCTGCTGCTGTTGTTTAGCTGTTGTTAGTTGCTGTAGAGTTAACTCCAACTCATGGAGACCCCATGTGGCCTCTGGGTGGACTCAAATCTCCAACCTTTCAGTTAAGCAATCGAGCACTTTAACCATTTGCACCACCCAGGGACTCAGAACTAGGGGTATGCCTCATTTAATGGTCAGATGTGTTGGGTTATAAGGAAGGGGCCCTGGAAACACATGTAAGAGATGCTTAGTAAATTTTTATTTTCTTTTCCTCCCCATCTCTCCTGCTCCCTTTGCACAACTTTGCTGCATTTATTTTCCTTTATTTACTAGGTTTCCCTCATATAATTCCAAACCAAAAACATTTTTTTGGATGGGCTCCTTCTGCAACTTGCTAACTATGTTCTTTAATTGGAACATAAGAAATTGGCTGCCTGATAAGTGCCAAGCTGGTCTGAATCCATTCCACCTAAGACACTAATCACTTCAAAGGAAACTCACTGGTGTAAATTCCTGTTGTAAAAGCCTGATGTACTGAAAAACACCAGCCCTTTCCCCAAAATAAAGGTAGCATCATCTTTAGGTTCTGATTCAAGTAGCTGCTACCTCCTAATTTGTTTTTCCTATAGTAAATAATTTCTGAAAAGGACAAAAGTGTCACCCTCTCCCATCTACCATCAGTGTTATATATATATACACTAGGTATGTCTGTGTGTCTGGGGTAGAGAAGCAGGCATGAATTGTAAAGACCCAGAGAAAAATAATCACGGATGAAAATACTTAAGAAGTATGGTATTCAGTTATACTTCATCAACTGAGTATCCCACAGGCATCTCAAACTGAGCAGGAACAAGATTGGCCTCATTGTACTCCCCCAGCTCCATTTATTCATCCAAGTCTAAAATCTAGTCCACATCTCAGACAATTGCCTTTCTCTTTCTACAAATATTTAATAATATACAAAGTCCTGTTGATTCTATCTTCTAATTTTTTTTTTTTAATATCGCCCGTATCTCTGGTTATTTTGGCGTAAACCTGGAAATACCATAAATGTTTAAGAGTAGAAGTTTAGCTAGAAACAGTTTTCATCCATAAGGAGATACTATGCACCCATTAAAAATAATGTATAAACAATAAACAACATAAAATATGCTCATGGCATAGTATGGGGGGAAACAAATTGCAGAACAGAGTGCTCACATTTATATTTAAATATTATATATGTATACACATGCATAATATAGTCGCAGGGGGAAAGAAAATGACTAGAAAGATCAAGGTCAAAATGTTAACAATGCGGTTACACTCTTTTGGGTGAAAGGATCAACTTCTGAAGAGAATTTTTTCTATTTAGCTGTCTCCAAAACTCCCAGTGGTGCAGTTAAGAAATAGGGGTTCTCCCTCAGATCCTTTCATCTTTAAGTCTCCTTGTCCTATGTTAAGAAAAACAAAAGTAATTTATTTTACAAATAATTATTGAGCCACAACTACGTACCAGGTATTATGCTAAGTCCTTCGGGTACAAAAATGAATAGGATGATTTTTTCCCCCATTCATTTAGCAATTTTTATACAAATTGTTCCATGACATTGGTTATAATTTTTACAATGTATCAGCATTCTTATTATTTGCTCTCTATTCTATTTCCTTGATTTAGCTTCCATTCCCTCTTTGCCTTCTCATCTTTGCTTTTGAGTGCTGTTGACCGTTTGGTCTCATATTGTTGATTATTTAAGGGAGCACATTACTCACGAGTGATACTGTTTATTTTGTAAGCCAATCTATTATTTGGTTGAAAGATGACCTCCAGAAATAGCTTCAGTTCCAAGTTCAAAGGATATCTTAGGGCAATACTCTCAGGGGTTCTCTAGTCTCTATCAGTCCAGTAGGTCTGGACTTTTTTAGGAATTTGAATTTTGTTCTACAGTTTTCTCCCATTCTATCCAGGACCTTCTATTGTGTCCCTGGTCAGAATGGTTGATAGTGGTAGCCAGACACCATCTATTTCTGCTGTTCTCAGGTTAGAAGAGGTTCATATGGGCAATGGTTCATATGGGCTATTAGTAGTGTGCACTAGCTTGTTCCTTGAGCTTTTGGTTTCCTTTATTCTCTTTTTCTCCATAGGAGTAGAGACCAATAGCTGTATTTTAGATGGCCTGTCACAAGCTTTTAAGACTGTAGATGCTACTCACCAAACTAAGGTATAGAACATTATATTTATGAACTGTGTTATGCCAGCTGACTAAGTTGTCCCCCAAGACTTATGCTCCTAAGCCTTTTAATCCAGTCAACCAATCCTGTGAGTTGTTTGGATATGTCTAGGAAGCCTCTATATCTGTGCCCCCTATTTGCTTTGTTATATGTATGGATATATATGCAGCACACACAAACATATATATACGTATGCCTACAGATAAACATACTCACGCACTTGTATTTACTTACATATACCCTTCTATATACATATATGCATACATATGTACGTAACCACACACATATTTTTTGGTTGTTGTTACAAAATTGTGTATGTTATAGCATTTATCAAAATTGTCCCTTTTTCTTCTGTGCTTCTTAGTGTCTTGATTTACCTTGATCAAGTTGTGCTGACTTCACCCATATATGGTAGTGCATTTCCCATCACCAAAAATAGCAAGTGTATACTGTCTAGAGAGTGTTCCCCCTCCCTCTCTCTCCCATCCCTGGTAACCATCAAAGAGTGCTGCTTTCTATGTATATACCTAGTCTTAACTTTTTATAATACGGGACCATACAATAATTGTCGTTTTGTGATTGACTTATTTCAGTCAGTATAATGTCCTCCAGAATCATCCATGTTATGTTTTGTGGACTCCTCATTATTCTTTATAGTTGTGCAGTATTCCATTGTATGTATGTACTACAATTTATCTATTCATCCGTTGATGGGCACTTAGGTTGTCTCCATCTTTTTGCTATTGTGAATAGTGCTGCAATGAACATAAGTGTGCATATGTCTATGTGTGTCACTGCTCTTAAACCCTAGGATATATACCTAGGAGTAGGATTACTTGATTATAAGGTACTTATATTTCTAACATTTTGAGGAAGCACTATATCAATTTCCATATAGGTTGTACCATTTTACAATCCCACCTGCAGTGTATAAGAGTTCCAATCTGCCCACAACTTCATCAGCATTTATTGTTTTGTTTTCTGTTTTTTTTTATCATCGCCATTTTTGCAGGGGTGAGATGGTATCTCATTGCAGTTTTGATTTCCATCTCTCTAACAACTAATGGGAGCCCTGGTGGCGAAGTGGTTAAGATCTCAGGCTGCTAACCAAAAGGTCAACAATTCAAATCCACCAGCCACTCCCTGGAAAGCCTATGGGGCAGTTCTTCTCTGTCTTGTAGAGGACTATGAGGCGTAAATGACTTGACAGCAATAGGTTTGGTTTAATGTTTACAGAGGGGCCCTGGTGGTGCAATGGTTAAGAGCTCAGCTGCTAACCAATGTTTACTGAGGATCCCTGGTGGTGCAGTGGCTAAGAGCTTAGCTGCTAACCATGAGGTTGGCAGTTCAAATCCACCAGCTTCTCCTTGGGAACAGTATGGGGCAGTTCTACTCCATCCTATAGAGATGGCAATGGTATAGGCTCCTTAGAGAGTTGCCAGTCAACCAATTTAAGAGACTAATATCAATCTTATTTCATAAGAGAACTACCCTCTCACCACCGCAAAGTCAGTAAGGGCAAACGGAAAATAAGTAACAGTCCTTTATACCAATCAACTATGGAAAATTTATTACACTGACTTTATTTCTCTCACTTCACCACAGAATAGTGAAAACTTTGGCAAAGACTAACATTATCCATGGATGAACATTTGGAAACCACTGATGTATTCTAATTCCTTTACTTCACAATTGAAAAAAGTATCTTCAAGCCAGCTCAGCAAATGTGGCAGAGTTAGAACAGACATTTCTTGACTATTTCCCCTAAACTTGTATCTACTTCTCACTTTCACGTTTCACGCATTTATATTTCATTACTTTAAGTAGTCCACACTTACATTAATAGAATTATTAAGTAATCCACACAACGAAAATTGTACTTAATACTTTATATTTCAGCAAAGCATGTGACAGATTTAAAAAAAAAAAAAAAAAGGCAGCCAACAAAGCAGAATAAATAGAGGAATTGCAGCAAAGTCACATGGTGGAATCTAAGGTAGCTGTGAAAACGAAAACTATAGCTACATGGATGAATTTTAGCAAGATAAATGTTTTCTGAATAAAGCAAGTCTCAGAACACTTAGATGCAATGCGACACTATTAACAGTAGGCCTAAGCTAGTTGTGCTATGATAACAAACAATCCCAAAATCCCAGTGGTTTACTACAATAAAGGTTTGTTTCTGGCTGGCTCACTATGTTTACTGACTGTGGTTCACCTGTGGGTCAGCTACAGCTCTATTCCTGAGAACCATGCTGAGGGAACAATAATAGACCACACATTGGCTCTTAAGGTTTCTGCTCAGGAGTGGCACATGCATTTTCTTTCACATTCACTGACCAAAGCAAATCACAAGGTCGAGCCTAACGACATTGGGACAGGAAGTATAACGCTGTCACGTAGGTAACTGGGTCTTTTGAGTCTGGAATTCAGGAGAAACCTCAGGGCTAGTGACTTAATTTCCCTATCATCAATGTGTACACAGTATCTCCACAGCAACAAGGAAACATCAACAGAATCAGGCAAGGAATTGCGTTCTCAAGGTCCATCTTCTAAGAGAGATCAGGAGTCAGCCAAGCTAAGGAGGAGAAAAAGCAAAGTCAGACAGAGGACTCTTAAACTAAGTTCCACAAATAGGCCTCAAAAGGCCTGAGAAATCCCTAGAATTACTAGTAAAATATGGTGGGAGGGGGTGCTCTAACTTTTACAGACTATTTGAATAGGAGTTTCAGTTTTAAAGAGCACTCTTATTACTAAGAGTATTTTTCCACATCCGTAAAATAAGGATAGCATTTACTCTGCTAGTTCTGAGGCTAGAGGAGAAAGCCCTTGTAAAACTATAAATTATGAATCCACATTTATGAATACAGAGCAAATACTCCTTATTTCTCTGACTTAAGGCTTAGACCTTGAACTGGTTCTCTTCATTATCAATCTTCTTCCCTAAGAGATATCATCTGATCTTGTGGCTTTACTCTCACAGCAGTTATACTCTGACAACTCTCAATTATGTTTTCAACCCAGACCTCTCCTCTAAACTCCAGACTCACATATCTAATTGCCTATTTCACAACTTCCTCTTAGATATATAACAGACACTTCCAATTCTACATGTACAAAACTAAGCCTGTGATGCTCCTCAAAACTTGCTCCTTCCATATTCTTCCCCACTTTAGCAATTGGCATCTCTATCTTTCCAGTTGGTTCAAATCATTGGAATCATCCATGAATCCTGTTTCTCTCATATCTTACATCAACTCCTTCAGAAAATCCTTTCCCTGCCTTCAAAATATATACACAACCCAACCACTTTTCATAGTCTCTGCCAGTAACATACTGGTCCGAACCACTGTCATCTCTCAACCGGATTACTGCAGTAGCCTCCTAACTGGTCTCCCTGCTCCCACCCTAGCACCATCACAGTCTATTCTGTACCAGGTATCCAGGCATATCATTTAAAAACATAAATCAGATCATGTCAGAAACCTGCTCAAAACCCTGCAGGAGCTCTCACTTCACTTTTGTAAAAACCAAAGTAGTTAGTTACACTGGCCTGCGAGACCCTACTCACCCGCCCTCCACTAGCCTCTCAGACCTCAACTTCTTTTCCTCAATCATCTGGCCCTCTTCTCTTCAACTCTGTCCAGACACAATACCTCCTTGTTACCTCAGGGTTTTTGTACTTAAAATTCCTTTCATTTGGAGTACTCTACCTTCTCAATCTTTTTTCCCCAACCATCACTTTATCAGTAAAGCCATCTATGACCATACCATTTAAAACATCACGTCTCTCCACACTTTATGCCTTTTTCTTACTTTAGTGGTCTTCATAGCACTCAGCACCATCTGACACATTGTATTTTGTTTGCCCCTTCCCCAGTGAAAAATAACCTCTACGAGTTCAGAATATTATTTTCTCACTGTTATTTACTGGCCTATTCCCAGAGCTTAGAACAGTGCCTGGCATATGCTATGTGCTCAAAAAAAAAAAAGTTCTGGCTAAATTAACATCTTCATAAAACTTTTTCTCCTCAAATTGGTGGCTTAGCTCCAATATCTGAATCTTTTCGTATTTAAGCACAAGAGTCTGTATCTTTAAAAAAGATGAGATTCAGAATGACTCCGTTGATTCTCCTGATTTCAAAGTATCACCCTACAGATTACCTGTTGTCATGAGGCGGGAAAATCGGATTTTTCAATGAACTATTACACTAAACCAGTGATCAATCTTATCCCAAATTGAAAATACCGGGTATGTGTCCCTGATGTGGTGCAAGAGCATGCAGCAACATCTCTTATAAACTATTCCTGACAAAAACATTAACCTAATTTCAATTACATCTATGGAAATCACTTTTAATTTATAGGACATACAAGGCAGATGTCAAATAAAACCATCCCATCAGGAAACAAATCAATCCAGAAGAGGACACATTCTACAGAACAGGCTTAGTCTCCCAACAAATCAAAAAACATGTCAAAAAGGAGGGAGGGGGGCGGCTAGGAAGGGGTACTTCTAGATTTAAGACTTGAGACACAAAGCCGTGCCTAGATCCTTGTTTGAACAAACCAGTTCTATCTAAGACATTCGGGGCATAACTGAATTCTTAATGTGACCGAGTACTGGATATTAAAGAAATTGGCTTAATTTAGTTAAGTGTGATTATGTGGGGGTGTTTGCTTTGTATTCACATTTAATGATGTCTACGTACTGATAAAAATGCTATCTTGTATGTTTCAACTTAGATGTTTCTGTTATTGAGTAAAGTCTCTACTTTTCCGCTTTAATATTTTCATTTAAAAAAAAAAAAAGTCCCTTCTTTGCCGAACAGTACTTGCCGGCTCTCCTCCCGTGTGCATTTCAGTATTTCCATCACTCTTTGCACACAAGCAGAACAGTGGCAATGCACCGGCCGCCTGCACCAGCACGGCACTCGTAGTGGGTTAAAAAACCAGCTCAAATTCGCCTTTGTCGCAAGGCTTCCCTGCCAGGCGGGGGCCCTAACTCCAGCTTTCTTTGTTCCTCGCCCTCCCCGCCATTTTGAGCACTGGAATCCTGGCGGGGGAGGGGAGGCTCGCCTAGCTATCTCTGTGGGCAGTTTGTCTTCTCTACAAGACTCAAATCACCACGCATACCTGTCAGCGAGCTCTGATAAAGAAATCTATCGTGTGGGACGTAAACAAAAACCACTCGAGCTTCCCTTACTGCTACTTCAAACAAGGAAAAGCTTTATACTCATAATACCCCGACTGCTGTAAAGGAGAAAGGAATTCTTGAATAAAACTTTCCTGCGCTTAACCTTCTAAAACGTCAACGGTGGAAATCTAGCACGTGCAGTCTTACAGAGGAAGAAATTAAAAGATGCTAGCTCTTTTACGGGAAGCCGTGGGCGGCCCTGAAAAGGGCCTTTGGTTAAAAACTGTAAAGTGAGAAGAGAGCAATTTAGCCGCCGAAGCCGTAAAGGGTGCGCCCCTGACGCTTGAGCGCGTAGACCACATCCATGGCCGTGACAGTCTTGCGCTTAGCGTGCTCGGTGTAGGTGACGGCGTCACGGATCACATTCTCTAGAAAAACCTTGAGAACTCCGCGTGTCTCCTCGTAGATAAGGCCAGAGATGCGCTTGACGCCGCCACGCCGAGCCAAACGCCGGATGGCAGGCTTGGTGATACCCTGGATGTTATCTCGTAATACTTTGCGGTGACGCTTAGCGCCACCTTTTCCAAGCCCCTTCCCGCCCTTGCCACGACCCGACATGACTACTGTAGTCTACCAAAGAAGCAAACTGCAGAAATGAAAAGGCAGAAAGAAGAAATCTACTTATATGAGTGAGTATCGGACCTAATTGAAAACCGAACTCGCGCGCGGGAACGTACGTTCGTCCTCTTGGCCCCGCCCTTCGCAGCCAACCCAGCCCTGAATGACGTCATTGATAACTAATTGGGTCCCACCGGGTGGTGGCGGCGTATCCTACAGGTCTTGTACCACCAAATTGGAATTTTCGGACCGCTTAACAACTGCATCGGAAGGAAGAAATTGACATTTTTCAATGATTATCATTTGCTGCTTGGAATGATTACACAGGACACCTGGCCTACACGACCCAAACTGCAGCAGCCTCCTTTGAGATGCGAAGTGTCCAGCTTTGCCCTCAGGCTTTGCACCTTCCGCATTTCCGCTCTCAGCAGCAGCCCTGGTGGCCGAAACTCCCCTGCGAACGAAACGCCCCTGCTGATGAGTTTTAAAACTGCAAGACTTCGCTCTTGCATCACCAAGCCAAGGAAAATTTGACCGAAAGGGTATTTACGAAGACGAATACAGTATGTGTGGGGTTGTGATTCCTGGTAGAAATCTCGCCCGCCCCGCGAGGTCTAGGATTCCTTTCCTGGCTTTTATCTTCTCTATTCATTCAAACCTGTAATTCTTATTTAAATATCCAGCGTCCCCACACCTGTGCACCCAATAACTTACCAGTTTGTTAATGTTTACTTGTCTACGTCTCGAAGGAAAAACGTGGCGACCTACTTCGGAAGAATCCCAAAAGCCCACTGCGGTCGAGTCGATGCCGACTCATAGCGTCAGAAGAATTAACCATTGAAAACCCAATGGAACACAGTACTATTTTGGCACACATAAGATCACCATGAGTCGGAATTGATTCGATGGTAACTGGTGTTTTCTGTTTTTCTCTACTCCTTGCTTTGTTTTCTCTTTGATTCTGGTGGCAAAATTATTCCAAAGAAAATTGGCAACTAGTGGCAGCGAAAGTATCGGGATAGATATGCCTCACTTGTGCAGGTAGATACAGTTAAGCATACTATTAGGAAAAGCGCAGGACGAGAAGCAGAGTGGCGCAGCGGAAGCGTGCTGGGCCCATAACCCAGAGGTCGATGGATCGAAACCATCCTCTGCTAGCCTTTTTTTTTTTTCCTTTCCTTCCCTCTCCCGTTAAAAAAAAGTCCCATAATTTAGTTTAATAATAATAAAAAAAAAGAAGCCAGATATAAAAATTAAAATTGTAGAATTAATATTATTTCCTGAGAAATTACTGTTATTAATTAATATGTTCTTTCAAAATAAACCAAGTATGTTTGGTTGCCAAGGTGACTGTGACACTATTGCCAGCTAGTTATGACAGTGCCACGTTGCCCTATGAAGCTGGGAAAGTGCTGAAACAGGTTGAGTGCCAAAAGTGGGGGACAAGGGTGGGGGCCAAATATGGAATTTTATTTCCTTCTGTACCTAATTCAGGAAGCACAACTTGTTAGGTAGTTGTGGCCAAGTGGTTAAGGCGATAGACTAGAAATCCACTTGGACAAACCCTGTGCAGAATCTTTACAACTAGCAGAGTCTTAATCTTGGAAGTAAATGAGTAGCAGCTTGAGAAAGAGTACAGGGTTTTGGTGGCCACAATTGAACTCTGACCTGAGAAAACCACTTCTGCGCTGCTAAAGGTAAATGCCTCTGCTCTCAACTCTCCTTTACATTCTCTAACAGGGATATTCTCTACGATCATTTTTTAAAGCCTGGATGTTGCTGAATGTTTTATATTTCTCACTCTCAGAAAGGATGGCTTATTCAAAGATTTGTTGACTGACTTTTATGTGCCGGAAACTGTGCTAGGCACTAAGGAAAAGAAAAAAACATTAAGTAGACTACAGTCTAGACATGCTTTTAAACAAGTAAATACATATAGTGCAATAGGATATTTCTTTAAAAGGATTATACACTAAGTACAGTGGGCACAAGGAAAAATTATGGCTATCTCCAGTAGCCCCACGAACACCCACTAGTTTGGTGATTCTCTGGAAGGATTCACATGACTCAACATATACTCACGGTTTGTGGGGATATATGCCATTTAAACATGGCTGCACTATTGACAGCTGCAGCTCCCACAGGCCTCTATGCTACACAGCATGTTGAGACTTGTCCCCAACATGTTGAGACTTGTCACGACTTGTTTTCCCAAACCTATTGTCCCTTTACTGATTGGCTTGTTTACCTGAATTCCTTCTCCCTTGCCCAAAACATTGTTACTCACCCAAAGCCCGTTGTTCTATTTGCTTCACTGCTTGCTGTATTGACTATAAACAAACTCCTGGGACTGAAGCCAGGGGTCGACTCCTCAGAGTGACCCTCCTGGCCCCACTTCTCTGTAAGAGTTGTGTTTGGTTACTGTCTCTGCCTTCCCAACATTGCCGCCGCTGCGACAGATGGTGCCCCGTGTGAGGAGAGAGCTGTAGATACCCCCGCACTCAATCCCTTCAGGTGGTGAGTAAGGACGCGTCCGTTTCAGGCTGCCTTTACAGCCGAGGGCAACGGGGTTTTTCTGCGGGCGGAATTTTCCCGAGCGCTCTCAGATCAGGCTGCTTTAGCACCAGAGCGGCAGGTCTTTCCTGACCGCTCCCGAGGGATTTCAGGCTTCAGGCCAGGAGCCTTTGTTCTCTTCCTTTCATTTTTCATTTTCCTTTTCCCTATGGGGAATTCTCTTTCCTCTGAACAGCTCAGCACAAAACCCAGTTGTTAGGATTGTTAAAAGCCTGTAAATTTAAGGTTTCAGAAGAAGCACTTACCCAACTTTGGCTTTTAACTGAATCTGCCTGTCCTTGCTATCCCTTGCGGGGGAACCTTGATGTAGAAGCATGGGAACGTATCGGTAACATCATTCGTGACATGAACATCCCAGCTTCAGTTCTTATTGCTTCGCATCACTGTCCCCTTGCCCTGCAGCCGTTACAGGCAGCTCGTTCGGCTCCCTCCCTTAGTAAAGAGAATGTCCATAACCCTCCATCTTCTGTACCTCCTGAAGCTGAGTCCCCACAGTATGAGCCAATTATGGAACGATGTTTGCGAGAAGGCTGTGAGAAAGACGGGCTTTCTGTCTTTCCAGTCCCTCAGGGAACAGGACCTCCCCGTCACGGTCGCCTTCCTTATGACACCTTTAAGGAACTTCCCAAAAGCATAGCAACTGATGGTTTACAGAGTCCCTTTACAAAAGGACTTGTAGAAGCTATAGCAACAAGCTATGAAATGACCCCCTGGGATTGGAACATTTTAATGCGGACAGTTTTAATCCCTGCTCAATTTAGTGTATGGAGTCAAGAGTATGAAGAACATTGTAACCTTTATGCCGTAGAAAATCTTAACCATAATATCCCTGTTAGTCTTGACATGCTCCTGGGTGTTGGGAATTATTCCACTCCCCAGGCCCAGAGTCAGATGAATAGACAAGCATTCAGTCAAGCCTCCGATGCTGCCGCCAAAGCCTGGAGTAAAATCCCTGATTCCAGAACGCCCGCCGGCTTATTCGCCACTATTCGCCAAGCGGCAAACGAGCCTTACATTGACTTTATCAACCAACGGCCATTTCCCGACAGGTAGATAACCAACAAGCAGCTGAAGTTCTTTGTCTCCAGCTTGCTTATGAAAATGCTGATGCTGACTGTCGGGCTGTTTTAGCCCCCTTAAAGGCACAGTCTTAATCTAGCTGAAATGATTACAGCATGTCAAAATGTTGGCACAGAAACTCATAAGGCACAAGTATTAGCTGCAGCTCTCTGTCCATCCACTGCCACCTGTTTTGGGTGAGGTAAACCTGGACATTTTAAGAAGGATTGTCACAGTTTAAAAAACAAAAATGCCAACACTAAATTTCCAACCCGAAAGTGTCCCTGCTGTGGTAAAGGTGGTCATTGGGCTAAGCAGTGCAGATCTCAATTTAACAATCAAGACAACCCTATGTCGGGAAATGGGAAGAGTGGCGAGAGCTCTCGCACCCCCAAAAATCCAGAGGGCCCCTGAGTGTGGAGTGTGGAAACCACAGCATAGATTCCAAACAACAACGCTTGCAGGTTAACGACTTAAAAGCAGGTACTGAAAGGAATGCAGGACTAGATTTACCCTTGGCACAAGGGGCTGTAATAGATGAGGCAGCAAAAGTTTTTCTTACAGCAACACAGGTTTGGGGACCCCTGCCTCGAAGATATTTAGGACTCCTAATGGGTCGCTCTAGTATTACATCTCAAGGTCTGACTGTTCATCCTGGTGTAATAGACTCTGATTATGAAGGTCAAATTAAAATTATGGTTTCCAGTCTCTCTTACTGGAATATTACTCCCTCTGATAAAACAGCACAGTTAATTTTACTTCCCTTTGTAGTCCCCTCTGCTCGCACGACCTCAAGACGGACTGGGGGTTTCGGCAGTACTGATGCTTTTTGGGTTACTAAGTTACAGTCTTCCCGACTGACTCCAGAGAGACAACCGACACCATCACCCCTTCCCCGGGGAAGGACATTAAACAGCAGGGCTCTGCGAGACCGGTAACATGGGGAGGTCTGAAAGCCCTCTCCTCCAAAGCTGAGTATATCCTCTCAACTACAGGTGCCCCCCCTACACCTAAAAATCTATTCCTAACTTTGGTATGTGTTCTCCTCCTCCTCCGTTCTCAGATACCAGCAACCTCTGCCCCAACCACCTATTGGGCTCATGTTCTTAGCCCCCCTATCTTCCACCCGGTTACTTGGGAAGAACCAGAGCCCCCTCTTTCCTCTAATGATACTCTCATTACCGGGGGACAATATTTGGCCTATTCCAAACTCCCTTGAAGAGGGATGGTTTGTACTGTCTACAAATTGGACACTCTATGCTGACACCCTTCCTTTGTGTTTCACTACTCAACCACGCACTGCTTCTGCATGCGTACCTATACTAGAACAATGGTATATGAATTA